CTGAGGAAGGGTCACCGGACCCGAAACGTTAACTCTCTTTTCTCCTTCACAGATGCTGCCAGACCTGCTGAACTTTTCCAGCAACTTTGTTTTTGTTCCAGTATTTTCAATTGTTTGTTACACTGAGACCTCCCTCTCAGACAGACTTGAAAGGCCCTACTGCCTTTTTGAAGAAGTTTGGGGGGTTTCTCATTGTGCCCTTGTCAGTATTTATCCCTCAGCTAAAACCTCTAAAAACAGATAATCTGATTATGATTTGATTACTGATTTTCGCAGTTTATTGTACAAAGATTGACTGCTGTATTTCCTATGTTAAAACAGTGAGTACATTTCAAAAGTACTTAAATGGTTCCAAATCACCCTCAAGGCCCCGATGTCCTGAAAAGCATATAAATGCAAATTACAAATTATATAAATGCAAGTTCTTTCTTTGTATCAGTAATATTGACTAAAGCCCAAAATAGTTCAAACTATATTCTTTACGAATCCTTCAATTACAATCCAAAGTATGAAAGAATTGATGGTATTTTTTTTGCAGGATCCTGCTAATGGAAACCAGCACATTTAATTTGAGGAATTGACTGTAAATAAAAGCTTGAATCAAGTTTGAGTGTTTTGCCGAGGGCCAAGGTGAATTTTCTGACAAACGTCAATAAACTCGAATGGAACAGCCTGGCTAATGAACTAGCAGAATACAGAACATCTGAGGTACCAAAATTGGACGGCAAAAAAGGTGCTGGTCATAAATAAGTTGGGGATGTTGATTTTTAATCTCCTTTCTCTCCAGTTTGGTGTTAGCTTTGTCAACCTAGCTACATATTATCTCATTACAAAGGAGAGAGAACATAAACAGTGAAAAATGACAAATAATTCTGGACCATGCTGCACCGAGACTGTGTGTAATTACAGTCGCACACAATATTTGATAGTGATGGTTCTGATTGAATTTTCTGAAATGTAGGCAGTTGTACAAGCATTGCATTATATTTTGCAGGCATCATTTCTCACTTTAAATCAGAACTGAAAATGTGAAAATTCCGATGAGCATTCTTGATATATCATTATTTGAAATTCGGATTCCAAAATGGATAGTACAATGTATAATTTTAACATTGATTTGTATTTCTATACCGTTCATGTTAAGTGGAGAGACAAGGTTTATTTTCAATTTAGATTGCCCTCAAAGTGTTTATAAATCAGGTGAGAAGAGATCTGTAGAGACCAGTAACAGTCCTGCCAACTAAACAAGTCACTTTAAGGTAGAAGCAGGGTTTCTGTTCTCTCATGTTGAAGTTCTGTAAGGTTGTCGGTAAGGGTAAAATGTTTGAATTTTTATTTTGAATATCTGTAAATACATCATTTCAGTTAGTTCCTATATGGTGTGAAATAGTCCCTTTTTAAGTCTTGTGTGTGACACTTTAATTTTTCTTGTTAAAAGGGCATTGGCAGACTCTTGTGAAAATATTAAGTAACTGACCACCATGGTGTACAAATTGCAAAAGTAAAACTTATGACCTAGCAAACAAGATCTCCCTTGGGAGTTCAGCTTGTCCAGTATGACCATCGACTGAGATCATAATAAAATATATAAAACCATTTCCTTCAGTTTAATTTTAATGTTCAGAGTTTAGTATGCCAGGTTAGAAAGAGACATTTATAGTAAGAAACAGTTCATTTAGCCTGACTGATCATGTTGGTGTTTATGCTGTATGGTGGCCTTCTCCTACCAGGTATGTATGTCTTCGGAAACCCACCACTTCCACAGTTCTTTGCATGTTTCCTTGACATTGTGATGTGTACCAAACAACATGTGGACTGCAGCAGCTCAAGAAGGTAACTCACCCCTGTCAAGGGCAACCAGGGACGGGAAATAAATGCTGGCCAGCCAGCAAAGCCAACATTCCATGAGTGAATTAAAAATAAATTTTGGCCTGCCTCAATAAAAGAAATGGCCTTTAGTTTCCAGTTTGAATGTGTATGGTTCCAGAGGAAATTCTGTTTATTATCAATGTGTGATCTAAAGGTGCACTGTCTTAAACTATATTGCCACTTTTACCTCAGCTTAAGGGAGTTTTAATTGTGTATCAACATAAAAGGAACAGTTTTAATTAGATTCAGTTCCAGTCTCATAGATTTTAGTCATCTCCAGTAACCAGCAGGTCAGGGCTGGCATAGCTAGATTTAAAGTGAAGGTCTTTTTACTAATTCCCAAGGGCTTGGAACATACTCGACTGATACAGTATCTCCATTCCTATGCTAGCTATTCCTATGCAGCCCCTGAAAGAAGAAGTCAGATTGGAAGGGCTGTGTTGTGCTGTGACCATACCCATGTGGAACTGTGTTGACATTGCCCAGACTGATCTGATGGGACATTATGGTAATGGTTTAGTCAGGATATTTTTAAATGCTGCTTTGACCTGAATTTTCTAAACCAACAAGACTACTTCAAAAGGTGCATTTTGTAAACAGGATTTTACTGCAAGGTCCAAACAGAAATATAGGAGCTGAGTACAAGTGGGCAACGCGACTGACACCACATCTGAATTTCAGATGCAAATTTGGTAAGACCAATTTCACCCTCAACATAATTTTAGTTAATCTAATGATTCATATAACTGAGAAAATGAAAAAGAATGCACAGTCTACTCAGACCAAAACTCCAAAGCACAAAGTCCAATGTTACTATTCTACCAGAAACTTTGCTACTATTCGCTGCAATAGTTCAATGAATATTTGTAATTGCAAACTCAAGCAATCAATTTTCATTGTTGAATCGAGGAACTGATCTGTACTGGAAAAATGTTTGCGCGTTTTACTGTTTCTGTCAGCTGAATTGAATGATGTTCATTGAAATGTGGAATTGTCCAATTTTTGAAAATTTAGAATCACAGAATTGTTATGGCACAGAAGGAGGCCCTTTGACCCATCATGTCACTCCAGCTCATTAAAGAAGCTTCAATTATGTTGTGCCAATCTCCTGCTTTTTGTACATATAGCTGCATATTATTTTTGTAAGCCTTGATTGTACCTGCTTCCACCACACTTCCAGGCAGTGCACTCCATACCCCAACTACTTGCTGAGTGAAAATGTATTTCCTCACTTCACCCTTGCTTCTTTTTGAAGATCACTTTAAATCCATGCCCTCTTGTTCTTGTTCCTTTTAGGAGCAGGATCTACTCTATCCCTATCTGCTCTATCCAGCCCACTTAATTGTTAAAACCTGTTTCAGATCTCCTCTTAACCTTCTCTCCAAGGAGAACAATGCCAGCATTTTCAATCTTTTCTTAGAATTAAAGTTTCTGAATTCAGGAACCATTGTTGTAAATCACTTTTGCACTCTCCCCAGAACATTCACATACTACCTGTAATGTGGTGCCCATAACTGTACACAGTAATCCAGCTAAGGTCTAACAAGTGTCTTCATTCAGTGTTAAATGTGGAGTTGCTTGAATTCCACACAAATACCCTTCCCTTACCTATGCACTCGCTTATAGTTGATAGAGAATTGTCACCAGCCTAAGTTTACTGTCCATAAATACTGTGCCTTCATGTGTCTAACTGTGCTCGCTATTGAATCTGGTCTTCAATGTAATTCAACTGTTGGTTTCTTAACTGCAGAAATATTGTATAAGATCAGAGATGACATTATCTTAATTATAATTTACTTTACATGAGGAAAAGTAAATCAAACTGATCATGTGCATCTATTGAATACAGCAAATGTTGTCAGATTCAGTTGTTAGCTGTGAATTAAATATTGAATTGGGAAGTTGTAGCATTGGGATGATTGTCTTCTGTGTGATATTTCATTGAAGATGATAAACAATTTACCTTCTACTGAAATAATGTTTAAAGGAGTGTCATATGAATGCTTTGAGCATCCCCCTAAATCCCAGCAGTCATTTTGAGGCTGTAGTCTCAAAGTGAAAAAGCTAAAGAGGGCCAGCTGACTGTAGTTTGATTTCTTCCTTACAGCTCTATTTACGGAGGTCCCTCATGATGTTTCAGCCAGAGCTGGGCAAGATGTGGAGATGGCCTGTGCTTTTCGGGGCAGTGGTTCACCATCCTACTCACTGGAGATTCAGTGGTGGTATATCCGAAACTCCAAGGACTGGACTGACAAACAAGCATGGAGCTCTCACCAGGTACTCTTATACTGTCTGCTTGTATCCAACTTCTTTATTTAAGTATAAAGATTAGCATCAATTTGCATGATTATATTAGCTTTGAAATGATAAAATATCCCAATGCATTTAAGGGAAACATGATCAGACATACATTGACTTCTGAGACACAGCTGGAACAGATAGCCTAGAACTTGGTCAAAGAGGTAGATTTTAGTGGTCTTAAAGAGGGAGTTGGAAAAATGGAGAAGGTGGCTCAGTGGTTAGCACTGTTGCCATACACCATCAGGGATCCAGGTTTGATTCCACCCTTGGGTGACTGTCTGTGTGGAGTTTCTACATTCTCCCTGTGTCTGCACAGGTTTACACTGAGTGCTCCAGTTCCCTCCCCCCGACCCCGCAGTCCAAAGATGTGCAAGTTAGGTGACTGGCCATGCTAAATTGCCCATAGTTTCCAAGGATGTGCAGACTAGGTGGATTAGCCATAGGAAATGCAGACCTACAGCAATAGGGTAGGGGGTGGGGGGGTGGTGGTTGTTGGATGCAATGCTGTTTGGAGAGTGGGTGTCCTGATGGCCTGCTTCCGCACTGTAGAGATTCTATGAACCTCTGTAGGGGTGGGGGAGGGGTAGTTCCAGAGCTTTGTGGTTAGATTTTTGAAGGAATGGTCACCGCAGTTGGAAGTGAAGGAAGTGGAGACAGGGATCTTGGGAGTTTTTATAACTACAGGATGTTACAGATATAACGTGGATTGAGACCATGGAGGGATTTGAAGACAAGAATGAGAATTCTCGACTTGTTCCATTGCTAGACTGGGAGACAGTGCAGGTAGCGCAAACTCCAGTAAAGGCCTGGTAATAGTTTCCAGAATCTGATCATTGACCCCAGCCATTCCACACCAGCAGATGTAGAAAGCACAGGCATCATTGTTCAATGATAGCCTAACGATGTTAACATTTTCCCTTGTAGTTATAAAGTCATAGAGGTATACAGCATGGAAAGTGACCCTTTGGTCCAACTGGTCCATGCTGACAAGATACCTTATATAAATCTAGCCCCATCTGCCAGCATTTAGCCCATACCCTCTAAACCCTTCCTATTCATGTACCCATCCAATTGCCTTTTAAAAAGGCACAGTAATTGTACTAGCCTCTACCACTTCCTCTGGCAGCTAATTCCATACACATACCACCCTCTGAGTGAAAAAAGTGCCTCTTAGGACCCTTTTAAATCTTTTCCCTCTAACCTTAAACCTATACGCTTTCGTTTTGGACTCCCCCATCCTGGGGAAGAAACCTTGCCTATTTCATCCTATCCATGAACTTCATGATTTTATCTCCTGTATAAGGTCATCTCTCAGCCTTCAATGCTCCAGGGAAAATAGCCCCAGTCTATTCAGCCTCTCCCTATAGCTCAAACCCTCCAACCCTGGCAACGTCCTCGTAAATCTTTTCTGAACCCTTTCTAGTTCACAGTTGTAAAATAATTTAGAATATTTATCATTTTTTACAATTTATAAACTAAATGCCTTTTTGATGATATACCGTAGACACCAATAATTTTTAAACTACAATTTATTTTGTGTTTTACCCCTGTCTGCCTCCCAGCACAGATGCAGACTGAAGTTGTGTGCAAAGCACTTTACTGCCATCCAGTGGCTAAACCAAGAGCTGAAATAATATCCCCCGAATGAACTGCCTTTCCTGAAGCGCGAGAGGGAAGGTGGTCTTCCTGCCAACACAGGAATTAAGTTCTGAATGGAAAGACCTTCCTGCCGCTCCAACGGTCCAAACCCTTATATGGTGAATTAACAAGTAAAATGCCATTTCACTCATTATCATGATTATCTCCATTTCCAACAGGCGAGAATACTGTCAGCCTTCCCATCAGGTACAACACCAAACTGGCCTGCCCGTCTGGTTGGGGGAGGATGTTTTGTATGTGTAGGGGCTCCTTCAAGCCCAAAAGGGTATTGTGTGCATGAGGTTAGTCACTGTTTTGGTCTACTTAGAAGAATCATTTTGGGTAACCAATATGAAGCTTATTGCAGTGCTGCAACTATTTACAGATTGCATGATTATGACCTACATTACTGTGGAGAATGTCAAGAGCCTGTAGCCTCTGGTCTATCTCTCAACAGTTTCTTCTTCACTCTGCCTAAGTTCCCTATGACAGCGGATGGTGCTCACTGTACCCAATTAAGAATTAACCCTTTCAGACTCATTTACAATATCTCTCACCCCCAAGTCTTTTCTTCATATGCCATTGCTGTTATACATTTGTTTAAATATTTTAAGTTAAATGCTACCATCTCCCCCCAGTCTTTGATTGTATGAACTCAGACGATCTGTAGATTTTGCAACTCTTCCCAAACATGTTGGGACTTAGAAGAATGGTAGTTGGTTGGTAGAAGGTCAGAAAGTCTAATGGGCAATGTAAGGTCTGTAGATCTCCTCTGTTTCCATTTTTTTACCATGTGGTTCATCTAATAAATAATTTGTGGATGGTTCAACCTTAATGGGATGAGGTTCCTACAGTTCATTTGCAAAGCCCTTTTGACAGTACGAACAATGTTCAGTCTCCAATGATTTGCAACTTCTTGGAAGATTGCATGCTTTCTATGTAAGTTGCTGATCCTCAACATTTTCCCTGCACCTAAACACTTACTGTAATATGTGGCTGGCTATATGTGGTAAGATTGCTCTTTTTATTTGCTCACTCATGGGATGTGGGCATCGCTGGCTGAGCCAGCATTTGTTGCTCTTCCCAGTTGCCTTTGAGAAGGTGGTGCTGAGCTGCCTTCTTGAACCGCTGCAGTCCATGGGCTGTCTGTAGACCCCCAATGCCATTAGGGAGGGGATTGCAGGATATTGATCCAGCAACACTGAAGTAACGGTGGTATGCTTCCAAGTCAGGATGGTGAGTGGCTTGGAACTTACAGGTCATGGTGTTCCCATGTATCTGCTGCCTTGTCCTTCTAGATGGAAGTGGTCATGCGTTTGGAAGATGCTACCCAAGGAACCTTGATGAATTTTTGCATGAATCTTGTAGATGGTACACGCTGCTACTGAACATCGGTGGTGGAGGGAGTGGATGTTTGGTAAGCAGCTGCTGCTTGATAGCACAGTTGATGACACTTTCCATCACTTTACTGATGATCAAAAGTAGACGAATGCGGCAGTAATTGGCTGGGTTTCATTTGTCCTGCTTTTTGTGTGCAGGACAAACCTGGGCAATTTTCTACATTGCTGGGTAGATGTCAGTGTGCTGACTGTACTGAAACAGCTTGGCTAGGGGAGCGACAAGTTCTGGAGCACAGCTCTTCAGTACTATTGCCAGAATGTTGTCACCCATTATATCTAGTGCCTCCACCTGTTTCTTGATATCATGTGGAGTGAATCGAATTGGCGAAAAATTAGTATCTGTGATGCTGGGGATCACTGGAGAAAGCTGAAATCAATCCACTAGGCATTTCTGGCTGAAGATTGCTTTGAATGCTTCAGCCTTATATTTTGCACTGATGTGCGGGCTCTTCCATCATTGAGGATGGGGACATTTGTAGAATGTCCTCCTCCAGTGAGTTACTTAATTGTCTACCACCACCATGACTGAATGTGGCAGGACTTCAGAGCTTAGATCTGATTCATTGGTTGTGGAATCACTTAGCTCTGTTTATCACTTTGCCTGTTTGACACACAAGTAGTCCTGTTGAGTAGCTTCACCAGGCTTATAATGTTCCACAAAGGCATAAGTGTTGCACCAATTTTGTAGACAGAGTAGTGAGCTGAGTCTTCAGCTGCCTTATCCATCAGTGGCCCTGATGGTACTGTGTTGGAGTGAGATGGACATATAATTCAACAGTGTTGTGTGCAAGTAAGAAATCTTCTTCAAGACTAACTCAAAATTCTGGCCTTCCCTGCAACCTCTCCCTGAGGTTGTGTGTACTGTGGTAAGATTGTGACATGCTCAAATACAGAATTTATTGGGAAGTGGCTAAAGTACTCACTTGTGAATTGTGCCCTATTGTCCAAAATGTAAATGTTCTAATACAGCACATATTCTCTGGTTGTGCTGTTTAACTCCTTCCCCATGGATCAGTATATCATCCATGTTCTGTATGACTCCACAAAGACCAAGTAGGAGTTTTGATACCTTTTGTTGAAATACCTCTGAAGCAGAAGCAATCCTAAATGATATTCTATTAAAGCAAACTCTTCCAAATGGAGTTATAAATGTGATAAGCAATCTTGATTGCTCGTCCACTGGTACTTGCCAGAATCCACTATTTGGAGAATTTTGTGAAAACTGTGCCCTTGGATAGTTAGCTGGACTCCGGTCTTCAATGGATGTGGAGTGAATTTCTCTCCCTGCCACCTTGTTGAATTGTTTAAGGTCAACACAAGTACGAATAATACCATTAACCTTGAGCATGTTAACTATACATGAAGACCACTCATTTTTGAGTCAAGACCCCCATTTGTGCCATCTATTGTTGTCAGTTTGTTTCAGAGAGAGATATGGTAGCCCTTTGGGTGTCTATACTTCCTTCAGTGTAAATTTGTATTTAGTTTTTTGACCTTCCTAATACTTTGAATGAATGGAGATTTTTTTTGAAGAACTTCTGTTGTTTAATCTCTTCGACAATTCGAATGACATTGAAGTCAATAAAGCACTTCTATTCAGGAATGGAAATTCTTGGTTGTAAAGTGTATGAAGGGTCTGTAGTATTCGGTGTTCTCTAAATTTGACAGTAGATTGTAACATACATTTAACTTTAAGTACAATGCCTGCACCCCGCCTCCCCCTGGACCATGTATTGAATTTCTTTTAGCAATAAGCAGTGTTTTATTAACCAAGGCTCATTATATAATATTGTGATCTTATAATAGTGTCTCACTTAAAATTTGTGAGATGCCCACTGACATAAATATCTTCTTGCTAATACATTTGGTGTGCATCATTGATTTTCGCTGAGAAAAGTTTGATTTTATCTTCTAATGGAGACTTTTCAACCTTATTCA